TTTTTTATTATAAAGTTAAAATTAAGATATAAAAATTACAATTAAATATAAATTAAGTAAAAATTTTGTATAAATATTAGAATTAAATATAAATCAAGCAAAATAATTATAGAAATATATTGTTTTAAATATTTCTGAAGTTTGAGTTTTGTCATTAATAATTATTTGATGTTTGATTTTTACTTTTTGAAAACATAAATAATAACTTATTATGCTGATTTTTAAATTAATGAAATATCAACTAATAAATATTTATAAGATAATTATGCCCGCAAGTGCGGGCAAAACACCTAGTTTCAAAAAAGTTAAAAGTATATTGGGACAAATTTATAGACTTAAAGGTACAAGGGAACAAATTTATTTTCAATATGGCCTGATTAGCCAATTTCCTCCTGGGTCAAGGCATAAAACGTCTCTTTATACTACTAGTTTACTTATCAAAACGGTAAATATGGTCATGTCGAAGTTGTGAATTTTGTTATATACACATTAGATTCGGGGGTTAATCATGAGAAAGACGACGTCTTTAAACCTAACAGTTACCAAACAAACCCATTCCATTAATTCTGAAGTAATTGGATGAAACAAAAAAAGTTCTTAACACCCAAATTGTGCGTCTATTAGAATAGACAACAACGCCGTGCGTTTGTTAATTAGTTAACATTTATTTTTTCTATATTATCTCTTTTGCTTCTTGTGCTTCGAACTCCAAACTCGACCTTCTCAATTTTCAGAAAAGTAGAGAGGGAGAGAATGGCATCAGTCACCTCTTTCTCTTTCTCATTTTCATTACCAGCAATAATACCCGAACGAACACTTGCGGCTAAATCTAGGTTCTTAAATTGTCAGTTACGGTCTTCGATCGTTTGGCCATCGCTTAGACAGAGTAGTAGCTTGAAAAGAGGGGAGTGGGAAGTAGTAGCGTGCTCAACGACGGGAAGAGTTGGATTGCAGTGGAGAGATGGAAACATGTCTCTCTTATCTTTCTGTGGAGGAAACGATTCTCCTCATAACTCCGATTCCTCCTCTCAGTCTCAGTCTCAGGTCTTGTCCGCTTTGCTTCCTTTCGTCGTCGCTCTTACCGCCCTCGCTGCTCTCTCCTATCCTTCCACTTTCACCTGGTTTGCCCCATCTCTCTCTCTCTCTCTCTCTTAACCTCAGAAAATCATTGCTCTGTTGAGAGTTGAGAGAATGAAATGTTTGCAGGGTATCTAAAGAGCTCTATGCTCCTGCTCTTGGCGGGATTATGTTATCCATCGGAATCCAGCTTTCTATTCAAGATTTTGCTCTTGCTTTCAAAAGGTTATTTCATCTTGACGCTGTTTACTTTTATCAAAAACTCTTGACCACATTTTCTGTTTTTTGGTTTCAGACCAGTGCCGTTATCTGTTGGGTTTGTTGCTCAGTACGTTCTCAAACCTCTCCTTGGGGTTTTAGTAGCTAATGCCTTTGGGATGCCCACGACTTTCTACGCCGGTTTTCTTCTCACCTGTTGTGTCGCTGGAGCTCAGTTATCTAGCTACGCCAGTTCTCTGAGCAAAGCTGATGTTGCCATGAGCATTCTTCTTACTAGCTCTACTACTATTGCCTCTGTTCTCTTTACTCCCTTGCTAAGCGGCCTTCTTATTGGTTCTGTTGTTCCCGTTGATGCTGTTGCCATGTCTAAGTCTATACTACAGGTAAGGGTCTCTATTTAGCTATATGATCATGAAGAACAACCAATCATCCTTTGTGGTTTAACATCTGTAGGTTGTGCTTGTTCCAGTCACTCTTGGCCTTGTGTTGAATACTTACGCAAAGCCTGTGGTCTCTCTTCTTAGACCTGTGATGCCCTTTGTTGCTATGGTATGCACTTCATTGTGCATCGGAAGCCCACTTTCCATTAATCGGAGTCAGATTCTTTCAGCGCAAGGTCTTAGATTGATTCTTCCAGTTATTACATTCCACGCGGTTGCATTTGTTGTGGGATATTGGTTCTCCAAGATCCCAGGCTTAAGGTAACACTACTTCAAGTTTTTTTTTTTTAGCTTCAGTACTTTTTGTTGAGTTCTGTTGTTGATTCCCAGGCAAGAGGAAGAAGTAAGCCGGACGATATCTCTCTGCACAGGAATGCAAAGCTCGACCTTAGCTGGGCTTCTTGCAAGCCAGTTTCTTGGAAGCAGCCAAGCCGTGCCTGCTGCTTGCTCTGTGGTTGTAATGGCCATAATGGGTCTATGCCTTGCCTCTTTCTGGGGCAATGGGTTTCGTATCAGGGACGTTCTGTCTCTACTAAAACCGCAAAGTAGTGGCCATACCTCTGAATCATGAGCAGATGCCACAAACCTGTAAAACAAGGAAACCACACCTTGAGATATTCATCGCAAAGTCTTTCAGGTTTTGGATTTGGAGGTACGAAACAGCATTTGGGAAGTAAGGATTAAGGGTTTTAGAGGGGATGGTATAGGTAGTTGTGTAGACGGGCTCAGAATGCATGTAAGTGTTCATCAGTCATCCTGTATAAAAAGTGCTTTCTTGTGAACAAGCGACACTCGCAAATGTTCTGTTCTCTTCTGCGATGAATCAACCACTCAACGAGGAATATATGTACTCTACTGATTCATCATATAAAATGGTCAACTCTTATGTTAAGATTCAGTCCAAGACAGGGGAAGCATCAATACAGAGACCAATAGAAAAGTCGTACAATGCAAGAGTCAACAACTCACATTAAGATTATTTATTAAGAAATACAGAGATTAGTTATCCTCTTTCAACTTGGTATTGTCGCTTGAATGTTCACCAACACAATGATCATCAGTCTGTTTGGGTGCTGGGTACTTAATGGCATTGAGCTCGAGTTTCCGCAGAGCAGCTTTCCCCAAATCGACACCACATGCATCAGATAGCCTCACAAGATACAACAAGACATCTGATAACTCTTCACCAAGATGAACTTTATCTTCTTCTTTCCAATCTGGAAGTCCTCTTTCCACTTCCCCTCTCCATTGGAATATCTCTGATAACTCTCCCACTTCACCCACCTGCATTTTCAGTTTCATTTATTTCTAAAGCAACCAAAACGACATGAAACTAGTGTTCACTTGGTTTTCCAGGACCAAAGTTTTGACCTTTGTTGACATAGAGGTACAAAAGTCACTTGTTTTTCTCGTTGTTTATGTTAATTGGAAAATTCACTGCTCTATTACCTGCACTCTGTCCAAGTTTGTACAAAAAGAATTATTTTTATTTTTCGGTTCTTAATTACATACAAAAGAATCAAATTTCATGCAGCTAAGATCAGCTTTTAAGACAAGATCAGGAGAAAAAGAGTTTCCATCTCATAGCAAAAGAAGTCCGCCTTTTTTGTTTATCAGACAAGACCCAAGTTCAATTTTCATGTCACACTCGTTGTAACGTTAACTGGAAGATATAAAGACACTAACTTGAGATTTACAGCTAAATCAAAGGAGTGATAGAAGATACCATTGCTAAAAGGAGGTTCCTTGGGCTGTGATACTTCTCCCAATCTCTAGCCTTTGCAAAATCATCCATCTTCTTACTCAGAGTTTCAAGAGAAACTACTTCCTTCCCTTCCCCCCTGTCCATTTTACACAGAATAAATCCCTAAACACTCACTTAGAGATCTTTACAGAAAGAGGAGAAATCTAAAGAGATTTATAGAAGAAATTGTGATACTAATTATTTATTATTGCTTGGTTCAATTCCTTAAAGAGACTTTTACTTGAGAAAGAGAGTAAGGTGACCGGTTACCGGATGTTTCTTGTTGAAGCGAGATATGTACTGGTTTGTCGAGGTTCGTACACGTGTCATCTCTTTACTGTGTCGCGGCTTTGCCCTATCACTCTCAGGCAGGGACTGAGATTATTTCTAAGTGCAGTAAAACTTTTATAAATTAATAGTGTTATACTTTAAAATTTTATAAATATATTAATTTATGAAAGTTCTTTTATTTAGATTTTTATTTTAAGATATATTTATTTAAAAATAAAAAGATATATTTGATTTTAGTATATAGACATTAGTCATAAGGTTTTTGAAATTTGACATCTATTATATTAAAATAGAAGTCACAATCTCTTTTCATGTGTGATTTTTAAGTTGGACCACTCTTATTTTTTTTCTATTAAACTAGATTTTGATCCGCGCTTAAGAAGCGCGGGTTTTATTTTGGTTGTAACAAAATGTATCAAATGATTCTATTTTTATTATATGATAGTTTTATATGTGAAATTTGATGTTTATTTAACGTTTTAGTAGGATCTTTTCATTGAGTTTTGAATAACCGAATCAGTTTTTGATTGAACCGAGAATCAGAAAATTAAGTGTTGTGAGAGTATGAAGAATTAAAACACATATTAGATTAAAACCAAATTTGGATGGGTCTATGGCCTATAGTAAATTTGAAAAATCAATACTACTGAAAATGCCCAAAATTGTATTACAAATTTGTAGTTAAATCTAATAAATATGTTAATCAAATTAAATAGTTTATTTATGTTTAGTTAAAATAATTACATTTATGATTTTTGAACAATAAAAATAATATTCAATTTTGACCCGCGTTTCTTATATAGTTTATTTATGTTAGTTAAAATAATTACATCTATGATTTTTGAACAATAAAAATAATATTCAATTTTGACCCGCGCTTATTATATAGTTTATTTATATTAGTTAAAATAATTACATCTATGATTTTTGAACAATAAAAATAATATGCAATTTTGACCCGCGCTTAAGAAGCGCTTCAATTTTTTTTGTTGACCATAAAATAAAATATTAAATTAATTTATGAGAGTCAAAGGTAACTCAAAAATATTTTTTTATGAGAGTCAAAGATAACTCCAAGTATATAAGAAATAATTTAAATATTGCAAGATTTTGGAGTAACAAATCTCATTTGTTACTCCAAGTATCTCATTTTCTGTTTCGATATGCAGAAAATATAGTATAAATCGATTTTCGTTTATTATATCATAGTATATTGATATGTTTTATACAACACTAATCGTCAAGAAAAAACAAATATTATTTAAAATGAAAATTACTGGGTGAAAACAAAACGCGATTTTGATTCAGCCATATTTGATGCTCGAGAATCATCGTTATGCGATTGTCAAAACATAACTAAAAACATTATTTCTTAACAAACATAATCCTAAAACGGATCGATGGAGAATCATCATTACCTCTGCGATTTTGATTCATCCAGGGTTAACGCTCGCGAATCATCATTACCTCTGCGATTATAAATAAGTTTATAATTTAGTCTATACTATTATAAAGTGAAAATATTTTTGTTGAAAAAGATAAATACTGTTGTTTAAATTCATCTGTCTCTGGTATTTCAGGATTAACAAACATCTGAGTTACGTCATAAGCATTTGAGATTTGGACCTCACTTATAACCAAAAATAAATCATAAGTATTTGAGTAATTTCTTTTGCCAGTCGAGGAATGTATGTCTTGTTACACGAGGCATGGATCATACTTCCCTATATAAACATAAAACATTATCATTTAGGTTAAACTTTAACGAAATGAAAATATCTAAATCAAAAATTTATACAAAACGATAAATTTACATTTGCATCACAAAGGATTACTTCCATGGACTTCCTTTGTCTTTCATGAAATGTCTCCACGTATGAAGGATTTTGACTTGGATGCAACAACAGTCTTCCTCGGTTTTATATCGCTCAAGAAAGACAACTGCAAATTATTCGCCATAATTTGTTTTAGTTTTTTTGAAGGGATGATAAATATAATGGTTAAGAGAGGCTAAATTTATAATAGGTAGGGACGATATAAAATTAGGTTACGCGAATATAGGGGAGAATATTTCATACGATTTTTTAAAATATCTCTTTCGAGGAATAAAGAATATTTCTTGAAGATTTTGAATTAGTTAAGAAGTTTAAAGTTTAACAGTTAATGGTAATCCAACTACGGTAAGTTACCGAAATTTATGGAATCTACGATATTGATTGTGGTTAATCTATAACTCGTAGGTAAAGCAATTTCTTTATTTTAGTAGGAAGATAATTATAGAAAACCATATTTGCAATATTTCTATAACAAAACGTATCTCGTCCATTAAATGTCAACATGAGAGTGATGATATATATTTTTTGGTTGATATCACTATATGTCGTATAACTATGGTATATAAATACATGTAAATTTAGTGAGACATGAAACATATTTCATATATGAAGAAAAACATGAATGAAGGTCTATAACACAATATAAATGAAATTAAAAATTATAAAGTCCATGTATGATGCATATACCAAAAAATGTCAACCAAAAAAGTATAATGTTGGAAATCTATAGATTGAAATCGTGTAATATAAGATCTATAACACAATATAAATGTATGAAATATAGTACGGTTTATAAATACGGATAAATTTAGTGAGACAAGAAAACATATTTTATATATGAAGATAGATCATGAAATGAAGGTTTATAACACAATATAAATGAAATGAAGGTTTATTTAGTCCATGTATGATGCATATAACAAAAAATGTCAACCAAAAAAGTATCGTGTTAGAAAAATATAGATTGAAATCATGTAATATAAGGTCTATAACATAATATAATTGTATGAAATATAGTATGGTATATACATATGGGTAAATTTAGTGAGACATGAAAACATATTTCATATATGAAGATAAATCATGAAATGAAGGTCTATAACACAATATAAATGAAATGAAGGCTTATAAAGTCCTTGTATGATGCATATACCAAAAAATGTTAACAAAAAAGTATAATGTTGAAAATATATAGATTGAAATCGTGTAATATAAGGTGTATAACACAATATAAATGTATGAAATATAGTATGATATATAAATACGGATAAATTTAGTGAGACATGAAAACATATTTCATATATGAAGATAAATCATGAAATGAAGGTCTATAACACAATATAAATGAAATGAAGGTTTATAAAGTCCATGTATGATGCATATACCAAAAAATGTTAACCAAAAAAGTATAATGTTGAAAATATATAGATTGAAATCGTGTAATATAAGGTGTATAACACAATATAAATGTATGAAATATAATTTGGAATATGATTATAAAGTCCATATATGATTTATATACCAAAAAAATCAATCATAAAAGTATAATGCTGAAAATTTATAGATTGAAATCATGTAATATAAGGTGTATAATACAATATAAATGTATGAAATATAGTATAAAATGTGGTTATAAAGTCCATATATAATGCATATACCAAATCGTGTAATATAATGTTGGAAATCGATAAATGTATGAAATATAGTATAAAATATGGTTAGAGTAATTAATGGAAAGAGAGAGAATAATTAATGGTTAGAGTAATTAATGGTAAGAGAGAGAATAATTCAGATATATGCAATATGTGATATGATTTGTAACAAATCCATATATATATATACATGTAAGTCGTTAATAAATTACCAAAATACCATTAATGAAAGGTGCACACAACTTCCATCAGTCGATTTTTCAAGGGTGCCTTCATTTTTAATAGTATAGATGTATTTTAAGAAGACTTATAATATATAGAATCTTTGAAATACTTTAATCACAATATCTTTTGATATCTTTTCATTTAAAATATAATATTATATATATTAAAAATTTCGAAAAAGTTGTTTAAGAAGATCCTAATTTTCAAAATTATATATAAATATTTGCAATACTTTCGTGATTAGTTTTGAAATATTATTATATTTTAATATATTTAGTTATCATTTTTAAAACGAAAATAAATATTCTATCACTTTTTATCTATTATATAATCATATTAAAAGAAAATTATTATCTTGATCTAAATGTTTTAACAATATCTTAATTTTCAAAAAGTGTATGTAAAATTTGTCACTAATTTTGTAGTTAGAAATGGACTATTAATATGCATTAATATATATATATATATATACAATTTTTGTTTATAAATTAAAAATTAAATTTATCCTAATTCTATCTATTTTATAATCATAATATTCAACCATGTAAAATAATTTTTTTTATTGAAATACATATTATAAAATTATATTAATTTAATAGAGTTATAAAGTTTATTTTCATAAATATCAAATATTTATATTAAATATATAATATGCTAACAGACTACAATACATCTATAAACATTAAAATATTTTAGACTTTTGTATGTACAATAATATATTATGTAAAATGAATAAACATAAAATATTATTAAAAGGAAATCGAGTTTTGAAGACGGATCCAAATTTAACATATATTAAACACAAAATACTTTTCAAATATGTTTTCATGCACATATTAATTTTTTTGATAACCAAATACAAATACAATAAAATAAATATATAATAAGAAGTAGCAAATACATGTAATTATTTTAAACAATCGATTATATACAACATATAAATTATATATTATTTTATTTGAAATAGTTGTATAAATATTTAAATATATAATTAAAATTAGAAATGATATAAAATAAATATATATGCATATAAAATTGAAAATAAAACCCGCACGGTTGTGCGGGTCAAGATCTAGTTTATATTAATTTGTTATATTATTTG